CTGCCTTGGGTGGGGTTAGAAGATGACTGCCCAACAGTCTTGTTGGTACGAACCTGCTGGCCGGTTGCTGCACCACGGCCCCCTGATCGGCCTTCCCCTTTTCCAGAACCCGAGTCACCACGGTCTCGACCCCTTCCTCCACAACACTATTAGAATCCGGGCAAATAACGACAGATTTTCTGCGACTGCTATCAAAACTGTCGTAATTTTTTAATTTTACGACAATTTTAGTAGTCGTCGTAATGTTACGACGGTTTTTTAAACTGTCGTTGATTTGCGACGAGTTTTGGCCAATAAAACTGTCGCAATATACAGTAAAAATAATTATAAAAAAATTTTATATTTACGACAATTATTAACTGTCGCCAATTACGACGGTTTTGAAAACCGTCGTAATTTGCGACAGTTTTGCGACAGTTTATGGCTGTCGTAGAATTGTTTTTTTAAAAATATGTATTTAAATACCCAACAAGCTAAGCCCACACCAAACCCTAATACTTTTCGCCGTTTTCATTTCCCCTTTCTCTTTCTCAATTCATCTTCTCTATCCTCTTCCAGATTCTCTATTTCTCTGATATTTTTCCCTCTTCTCCTCCTCTCTTTTCTTATCTTCTCTCTATTCTCATCCTCCTTTACTCTTTTCTCATCCTCCTTTCCGCTCTTTCTTGCGTTAAAAACAATGGAGAAGGTGGCGAAGGGAAATTCGTGTGTTTGAGGTTAAATTTCATGTCATTGAGGCTTTAATTTGTTTTGTTAAATTCGACCATAAAAATTCCAGATTTGGAGTTTTTATAATCAAATTTGACAATCAACACCCAAAGAAAAGGAAATTTTCGAAGGTATGTTAAATTTTTTATTTTTCCGTTTTTGTTATTGTGGTTTTTGTTTATATTCTAATATTTTTGGTCTAAATTCATTATTTTGTGTTGTTTGTTCTTTTGAATTTTTTTTCCGTTTATTTTTCTGTTGTTTTCTTTTATTTTCGTTTGATTTTGTTATACTTTGTTTATTTTTCTTTTAATTTATTGTGGCCTTTTTGTTCAAATTTGTATTGTTAAGATAATTTCTGTTTTTTCTTTCATTTTTTGTTCATTTTTTTGTGAATTTCCAAAGGTATGTTTAATATTTTGTATTTTTTGTTTTTATTATTGTTTTTTTTGTTTATTTGCCATTTTTTAGTTATTTATCGTTTTTTCGTTTGATTTTTTTTTATTTGTTTGATCTTATTAATTTGTGGTTTTTGTAGTTGTTGGATTTTGGATTCTTTTGGTTTCCTTTCAGATCTAGGGTTATTTGTGGGTTTTAATGTCTTTTATGGGTTAATTTGGTGGTTTTCGATTGCGGTTGGTGGTGGTTTTCGATGGCGGTTGGTGGTGGTGGATGGGTTGAGGGTTTCGTTTTTTTTTTTGCGACGGCTAGCCGTCGTTAAAGTGAGTTTTTGCGACAGTTTTCATGGCTGTCGTAGTTTTGCGACAGTTTTAAGCTGTCGAAGATTAAGTACAACAACAAAAACTTAAACTGTCGTTGAAATTAATAAAATCGTTGTAAAAAAGTTTGCGTCAACCAAACTGTCGTTAAAATGAAATTTTGCAACAATTAATATTACGACAAACCAATTACGACACTTGACTGTCACAACAATTTTTTGTGACGGTTTTTGCTATTTTTGCGACAGATTTTGGCTATCGCAAAATAACTTATTTCTTGTAGTGCGGGGACGATCTCCCCACCAAGGTGGATAGCCATTGAGTTGATAACAATCTGCCTCATCATGACCAGTGCGATTGCAATGATTGCACACCTTTTCGGAGCCACCCGTTGAACATTGTAGTTTAGCAGTAGTATCATGTTGTACCTTGAAAGCCATAGGACTTTCACGCACCTCACCTCCTTTCAAACGCTCAGCCTAAATTATTTGTTGATAAGCTTTATCAACCGATGGTAAAGGATCCTGAGCCAACATTGGCCCCTAATCGAGCCATAAGCATCATCTATCCCGATTAAAATATGATGAAAAAAATCTTCCTGCCTCAATTTTTCAACCTGAGCCACAATAATGCACGTACATTCACCACAAGAACAAGAAGGGACGGTGATATTCATGTTCAGTTCATCCCAAATTTGGCAATTCGACCAAAATACATAGCCACCGAATTGGTCTTTCCTTGCTTGCAATCACCCAAGGACATCTTCAATTGACAAATTCGAGTGCCACTAACCACACAAAAGCGGTTCTTCAAGTTGTTCCACAAGAGATGAGCATCATCATACTCTCCAATCGTTGCCCTTACCGAAGGGTCCAACGTATTTGTAATCCACGAGACTAACATTGAATGAATAGCCTCCTAATCCTCCAATTTTTCTTGTTCAATTGGTTTCTTGATACTTCCATTAACAAAATCGTACTGTGCTTAGCCTTCAACGAGGTTCGAATAGCCCTCGCCCACTCATCATAATTTTCACCTCAAAGTTTTATCGGAGTAATAATATTCCCGGGTCCATCACTCGAACCTAGGTGATAAGTCATGTCCACCTTAATTTTTCCACCATCACCACCAGAGCTGTTGCCTCCTGTCATCACTTACGGCACAATGAAGGGGAAAAAAAAATTGGACGAGTAATTCAGTTCACAGACTTCACAAGAGTCGTACGTTAATTATGTAAATTAAACGTACCAAAAAAAAATTTAGACCTTAACTAGGCTCTTGATACCATGTTAAACTAAGCACAATTCATCAAATATTATTTCTGTATTTCTCATCCATAACAATGGCCACAATTAGAGCTGTCAAAAGCTGACTCGACCCGAAATACCGACCCTAACCCGACCTATTAACCGACCCGTCTGAACTCGAAAAAAATGGTGACCCGAACCCGACCTAAAATCAACCCTAGACCCGAGTATTTAAGACCCAAACCCGAACATTAACCGACTTAGAGACGACCCGATCCGAATGTAACCCGTAAATTATTGACCTGAACCGAACCCGACCTGAACCAAAATTTACCCAAACCCGTTTTAACCTGTCAAAACCCGAATTCAACCCGACTTGTTCCTAACCCGACCCGAATTCAACCGACCTGTTCCTAACCCGACCCAAATTTAACCCGACTTGCTACAAAGCCGACTCGAATTTCAACCCAACCTATTAAAAACCTGACCCGAATCAACCTGACTTGTTATTGACCCGACCCAAATTTAGCCCGACTTGTTATTGAATTAATAAGTATAGGTCAATATCTCATGTTGGTATTGGAACAGAAATTGAATCCTAACTCTATTCCTTCAATATTTCACTTTGAATTTTAAGAGGTTAGTTTCACAACATGTTTTTAGGTACAAATTTCAGGGACGAAACATGTTTTCCACAAATTATTGACTTGAACCGAACCCGACTCGAACCCGAGAATGACCTGACTTGGAAATAAACCGACCTGATTATAACCCGTAAATTATTGACTTGAACCGAACCCGACATGAACCGGAGAATGACCTGACCTGATTATAACTCGTAAATAATTGACTTGAACCAAACCCGACTTGAATCCGAGAATGACCCAACCTGATTATAACCCGTAAATAATTGACTTGAACCGAACCCGACTCGAACCTAAGAACGACCCTAACTCGTTTGAACCCGTAAATACCCGAATTTAACCCTACCTATTTTTCACCCGACCCGAATGTAACTCGACCTTTTACTAACCCGATCTAAACCCGACCCAAACCCGATAAGATGTATGACCCGATGTGACCCGACTCAAGCATGATCCAACCCGAACCCAACCCGCATATGTTATGACATTAACCCGTATTGACCCGACCCAAGATGACCTGACTCACTCAAACCCGACCCGTTTAATCGAATTAACAGCTCTAGCCACAATACATGTATATATAATACTAGGATAATAATACCCTAAATATTCTATCATGATATCTTTTCACAAGATATGTTTCCTAAAATATGCACAATAATATCACAATAATAATATCACAATAATATCATAGATACACTAGAATATCTCCAATACATACTCCAAATACTCAATATATTTCTACTTTTTAAAGATGTTTCTTTAGTTAATTATGCTTACAACTACATGGACACTTTTGTAATTTTTTTCCTCTCTCTTTTTTCACACTGCCAAAAAATTGTGCTCAACTCATATAATACAACCTTTAAAGAACAAAGGAAGAATCAAATTAAAATCAAATAAATATAAATATTGGTAAATTTATCTATCAACCAAAGTGATATTTCAAATGGTGCAACTGCATAAAAGGCTGAAAGAAGTAAATAACAATTAGAACTCTATCTGTCTCTAATGTTTTGCACTAAACTTTTCAAGTAAATATAAAAACTTAATATTAGTAAAAAAAAAAAAATACCAAAATAATTAGATGAATTGAATAAGATCTTACATGACTACTCCGTATATTATACTCTCTCCGTCCCTTAATTACATTCCTATTTTTAAATTTATACGGGAATCAAGGAATTTGGAGTAACCTTAAAACTCATGATTAGAAAGTACAATGGAAATTACAAGACATTTATTGATGTATTGAATAAAACAAAGATAGAATGTTATTAAATGAAGCAAATGTCATCAATCCTTTGAAAAGAAAGGATCAATCACATTTATTTATGAAAAATAAAAAGAACAATTATATTCAATTATAGTGCTGCACATGGATTCATAATGTTATGAGTGAAAAAATTATGGTTTCTATGCAACCATTAACCGTAAAATAGAAAAATAATTAATGTAATGCCACATCACAACTATTTAGGGATAGTTTGGAAATATTTGATAAAAATTCACTCATTAAAAAGGGAAAGTATAAATATAATTTTAAAACACTCAAAGACTCAAAGTATGAATGAGTAGTCAATGACAATTTGTGGTAAAAAAATTTGACCCAAATACTGCCAATAATAGTGGGGCAAAACTTTAGACCAATACGCAAGGAGTAATTGTCAACATGTGATACGGAGTACAATAAATTTTTATTTCATTACGGAGTTGTTGGTAGTGCAATAAACAAAAAGCATAAAAATACATGCAAGATTTAATAACCCATTTTAGGAAACATAATTCATAAATTCTTCATCCAATAATAGAGCACTCATATATTCAGGCAGAAGACCCACTTGTAAATCCACACTACCTGGACCATCACGACCCGGAAAAGCTGTAAGCTTACCATCAGCTCTATTGGTATACCCGGTCCGAATAGCCACCAGTTTTCCAAGCCCAAATTCGGCCCCGGAAAAATCAAACCTGGGTGAACCACCCATCACCACACAATTAGTCCCTAACGATATGAACCCAGGAGACTCAATTGTAGGACTCTCACCAGATGACAGCACCAACGCTTCACGGGCTGTTTCGGCATTTACAGTATCTACCTCATCATGGATCAGCATGGTTGCGTAACCTAACCCGTTTTTGAGCAGCTCACCTGCTTTGGCAGTCGCGGTTGCAGCCACGAAACAGTTAGCTAAGTGGTCTGGTGACAGAGGCGGTTCTATGCGAGACCTTATGTTTACTGCCATTGCGAACTTGGTTTCTTCCTCAGATGGAAGGTTTCGAGCTCGGGTGATGCTCTGCCAGATAAACCCACATAAGGCTTTAAATGATGACAGTTGTGGCATACTGCTGTTGTTGGCCTCGGCATTAGCTTTGATCTTGAGTTTTGACATTGTTGCAGCTGAGAAGTGAAAGACTCTGTCTCTTAGTAAGTGATCTTTGTCGAATCGGGTTATGAACTCGTTAGGTTCCTTGAATGGGAGTTTGATGATTGGGAATCCTTCGGAAATTGATGGAGGGAACTTAATCACTGGTTTTCGTAGTATAACATCTTTTGTTCCTTCCCCTGAAACAAATATATTAGACAACACGTTAAGAAAATGAGACAAAGATGTACCGTCAGTTACACAATGGTTAATGCAGCATCCGATAAACAACCCATCTGCCACCTCTGTCATCTGAACAGATAACAATGCCCTTGTGTGGCCATCGTGATTGACTTGTCTCTCGCCAAGATCAAAAAATGACTGGACCACCAAAGGGACGTCTGTGGTAGGGTTGACAATGTTGTCAACAGTGACATCTGAGGCGGAAGCATGGATGAGCCTAGCTCCGGGGCCGGATTTGCAATCGACGAAGATAGAGCAACTATGTTCTTCGTCGTAGGTTTTGGTAACAAGACGACCAGCCAAAGGATAAAAGTGAACAAGGGCATGAGAAAGAGAGAGTTTAAGGTTGTCAAAGAAATTATTAGATTTGTATGATGAGGTTCTAAATAAGAGACCATATTGTGTGTTACCTAATGATATCAAATGTAAGGCTAAGGGACTTAGGTAATGGTATCTTTCGGAGTCCTCGACGTCGGATTTTGGTCGGACAAAGCATTCTGAAATAAGCTTAACCGGAGACATTTTGGAAATTGTGGTGCAAAAAATTGAATGCCTTGGTTCAGCGTTAAATAGAGAAAATACAAGTTCATTTTCATGATAAACGGAATAACGTTTATCTAGTGGCATTTTTATAAATAAATTAAAAACTTTTGTCAAATGTAAACCCTAACAATATTGATTTATTTATAAAAACGCCATAATGAGTGAAATTTTATATTGATTTATTTACAAAATTGCTATTAGATAAATGTTTTTTTTTGTTTATCACGAAGATGAATGGGGGCTTCCTCAAAATAATGAGAGGAATTTTGGAAAATAATGCAATGATAAATTAAATTAATTTTGCCAGCTTTCATACTTTTTTCTTTTTTTGTTTATCATGAAGATGAATGGGGGCTTCCTCAAAATAATGAGAGGAATTTTGGAAAATAATGCAATGATAAATTAAATTAATTTTGCCAGCTTTCATACTTTTTTCTTTTTTTGGTTTTACTCTACTCCGTACTAACTCTGCATCATATTAATAATTTAAAAGCAACAAATATTGCCAGCTATAACTCTATAAGACATAATTTCATTTTGCAATACTGTAAATTATATCTTACACAGATTTCAACAAACACAAAATATAAGAAAAAGACAGGTTAGTTGATTTTATTGAATTTATAATGATAAATATTATTGTATTATATCTTATACAAATTTCAACAAACACAAAATTTAAGCAAAAGACAAGTTAGTTGGTTTTATTGAATTTATAATGATAAATTATTGTCATACTACATCCAAATCCACTCCCTTGCTTGTTATTGCCTCATGAGCAGAGTTCAATGATTACACAGAAGAAAGAAGTTACCTTACTTAAGATTTTCCTATCGATCAATACTATCTCCATGGAGAATGAATTGTGACAATTTTTTTTTAAGGAAAAATACACTTAAATAATTTCAACTAGTACCTCTGTTTCATATTATTTACAACGATTTGACATAAAATGAAGAGGAAAAATGTCAAATCGTTGCAAATAATATGAAACGGAGGTAGTATTAGCGATTTATTGGATTGGTGGTTGAAATAATGAAAATAAAGGCGAGGGGTCGGGCTTGGATTGCCGCTGCAAATGTGCAATTGGGAGATTGCAGCCTTGCAGGTGGTTGATTGCGACTGTGTTGGTTTTGGGGTTTAGGAGGGGTCTACTGGTTGTTTTATGGGGTTATAGGTGGCAGTCGGTTGCTTTAGGGGGTTATAGGTGGTGGCCGATCAGTTCCCGGTGGGGTTAGGGGTTGGGCTAATGGTTTTACGGTGGGGGAAGAGAAGGGGGGGAGTGGCTAGGGTGAAATGAGATTATTAAATAATAAACCTTAGTTAGAATTATTAAAAGTAAATTGCTAATAGATTATTTAAGTGTATTTTTCCTTTTATTATAGAAAATTAATAGTAAATCTTTAAGTTTTGTACTATTTATATACTATATTAATTCTGATAAAAGGAAAAATACATTTTAATATACAAACTTGATTGGCCTATTGACGAATCAAAATTTAACATGTTTAGTGCTATTAATCTGAATCCAAATTAAAGGTGCAAGAAATTATATAGTCATATACTAGTAAGATTTTATAAGCTCTTTTATATAAATACGTTTTAAGATCTGCTTATACTCCGTATTGGAGAAGTGGAGAACGTAAAAGTGAAATAGTACAAACAAAAAGAAAGAAAAGATGTGTATAAACTATAAAATAGTATATTAGCATGTTCTTGACCTTTTTACCTACAAGGCTACAATGAGGATTGAGGAGACATAGATATAAAAAATGACCTATCTATAATATAATTGCACAATTAATTTACCACAATCCCTCACATTTCCGATCTTCAATAACCACCAACATTTCACTTTAGGTAATTTTCTTTCGCGTATAATGCATACCGTGTAAAGCACTGGTATGCTCTAGTAATAAGAAATACAAAATAAGATCCCTACTGCTCTTTTTTAAACTAGGATTGTCCTTGCTTTAAAACAAATTGCATCCATTTGATTAGATTAAACAATAGCTTCGCATGTTCAACGCTCTTTACTTGAACAGAATAAAGAACTTTATTCATGTGCTTCACGTGAATGTAGTTAAGAAATATTTGGAAAAGATCGATAAAGTTGATAATCAAAGGTTTTCATATGAATGGTAAACCCTTCTTTTAACAAACCAATGATAATTAATTTATTATGCTATACTACTGCATTCATATTTTAAAAAGTTATATGCTCTTTTAATTAATTACTAAAAGAGCATTAATCATCAATCGTCAATAAAAATATGCTAAAAGACACACCATCAATGACACATGTCATCTTCTAATGTGTCCTTATTATATTTTATTTAATAAAAACAAAAAAAAAACTTTTAAAAAATTGATAGAAAATATATGCACAATATTTAGTTTCAAAATTTAGGAAAAAAAAATTATAGAATAATATATTTATAAAATTAAATTCCTATATTATTAATTACACAAAAAAAAATCATGAATATATATTTTCACCTAAACATAATTGGTGAATGAAAAATTATCATATTTGAAATTTAAAAAAAATACCACTAGCAATCATTGTCCAGCAGCAATTACCACCATCAACAACCATGCATCATCAAGCACATCACCTAAAATTTTTATACACCCAGGTGTACTGTATACCCAATTAATTTAAGGTTAATTGTGGTTTCTCAAAAAAAAAAAACTTAGGGTTAAAATTTGCTTTTCATTTGATGATAAAATGAAAAACAATCATCAAAATGAGAATACATAAGCATGAGTGTACGATACACCCGGGTGCATATAACAACCTCTCCACATCACCAATGATGACCTTTCCCGGCCCTTTGTTTCATCCTAACCTATTTGCCTTAGGTTAGGTGATATGTTATATACCAAGTATAAAGAAAAATTATCTCTTTATTATTTTAATTAAATTTCATATCACATATTAATCACATGACAATACGAGGAGTTCTTTTGCCTTATAAATTGCTTTACTTGATGGTCTCGATCTCTTTTCTTTTCTCAATGTGAGACACTTATATTTGTTGTTTGGGAGGACTATGCATCAACACTTCCCTTCAAATTCGGAAGACTGCATCAACACTCCCCCTTACATTGACCCTAAAAATTGAGTATATAACCATTAAAGGTTCCAACCGTAGGCTTGGCTCCGATACCATGTTAATTAAATGAGTTTTAGCTACACTCGAAACTAAGATAGAAAGAAGGAGTTCACTTTAGAAGTCCAAAAAAAGTTTTGATTCAAAAATTATATGGTAATAAGAGAATTGGCCTATTTATTTCGAGTTGACGTCAAAGATTACGTTTGATTAAACACCTTAAGCTGAAAGCCACAACTTGAACTTTGAAAAAGCATGTACACACCTTAGAAACTCAATAACTTCAAAAAAAATAGCTTAGAAAAACCCAAAGTTTATTTATTGTATGTTCAATTTAATTTTGTTTCATAGTCCGTCAAGCTAAGCTATGCAAGGAAAATAAATAAATAAATAAAATAAATAAAACTATGCATGATTGCAAGATATTTATTTTCAGACATATTCAAACCACTAGTTGATTATTTAGTGAGAGCTGCTATATATTCCATTAATAATTCAGGTGCAAACAACAAATTTATCTGCAATATATTTAGTCACACTTTGTAAGATTTGCTTTCAGTTTTGCATTCATTAGCAACAAAAGAATACAATCACTAAAGCCAAAAAAAAAATGTGGGAAAAATTCCATCTAAATAGTAGATAAAGGATATTGTAACAAGACTATGCTGTAATGTAGCTATATCATACTGAATATTTTGGGATAATTTTTTGGATAATTAATTGTTAAGTTATGGTAAATGAGCTAATCCAGTATTTAATTAACTTGTGATGTCAAATTAGACTCTTAAGTTATGGTGAATGAGCTAATCCAGTATTTTAAATTACCTAGTGATGTCAAATTAGACTGTTAAGTTATGGTGAATGAGCTAATCTAGTACGTATTGTTAACTTAGTGTAATAAATGGTGAATTATTCTTATGTGGAAGTGTATTTAGGCGCATAGGGCCTATGTACTTCACAAGCACATAGAAGGGCATTTTGGAATATATATATATATATATATATATATATATATATATATATATATATATATATATATATATATATATATATATATATATATATATATATTTCTCTCCCTTAATGGTACATTAGTAGATTTATTGTACTATTATACATGCAGCGGTACTTTTTGCCATCAAATTTTACACCACTGTTACAAATAATAATGTATGCTCATTATAGCTTGTAATTATCTCTTTTATGACTATCTTAAGTATGGTTTTAAAAGCATTCTTGTAACCCTTCATATGTCATTAGTTTATATTAACCCTCTCATGAATGAACTCTTCATTGTACATATAGGTTACAATTTTCACATCATGTATATATATAGATGGTCATGAAATGGATGAATAAAAAATAATACAGTTGCCTATCTATATCTCTCTCTTATATTTTTCCTTTCCCCTTATTTTATAACACGTTATCAGCACAACGTTCTACCAAATTGCATTAGAAGGTCTTGATGTCCGATTAACTGATACTACATACCTTTGGATACTACATTATAGTCAATCCATATGTAAGTATCTTATGATGTTAATATTCTGAGTTGAATAATTATGTTTGACTTGTGTGCACTAATAATTTTAAAGTTATTCATCTTATATTCTTGATATTTTAATACTGCTTTTGGATTTTAGTATTAAACATTCACAATTTTATTCGTTTGCTAGCTTATTGAAACATTAGTAGTTATGTTAATTAAAAATTGTAAGTGGGCTCCTTTTTACATGTTGACTTAATATTACCCCTTGTCACTTGCCTTTAGTTGAAATACTAATTTTGTGTTATATATATTTATGTGTGTCATCTGTTTTATGATCGATTATTCATTGTAATTTGTCTATATTTTAAGATTTTGTTACATATGATTCATGAATATATTATTCCCATACATACTTTTGCCTAGATATATACTCTATCCAAGATTGATTTATGAAATTATAAGTTTTGCCATAATTGTGATAATCTAATATTTCTGTACAACTTTTATATTTTTTTTTATTATTTCATGTTTTTTCATTATCCTTATTTTATTTGTATACATTTTTATTATCAACCATTATGTTATGATATGTATATGTTTGATGTTTTATGAGATCTAATTTTGAATATTATTTTATATAGTGAAATATGTCAAACCTTACCAAGCTTGAATTTGTGGCCCTTGATATTACCGGAAAGAATTATTTATCATGGTGTTAGATGCTGAAATACACCTAAATGCTAAAGGCCTTGGTGAAACAATTTAGGATGGTAATGAAGCAACACTCCAAGATAAGGCAAAGGCCATGATATTCCTTCTCCATCACCTCCATGAAGGACTCAAAAATGAATATTTAACTATGAAAGACCCACAAATCCTTTGGAGTAATCTAAAGGAAAGGTATGACCACCAAAAAACAGTAATACTACCTAGAGCTCGTTATGATTGGTTGAATTTGAGATTGCAAGATTTTAAATTTGTTAGTGAGTATAACTCAGCTATGTTTAAAATAACTTCTCAATTGAAATTATGTGGAGAAAATATTACTGATGCAGAAATGCTTGAAAAGACATACTCCATTTTCCATGCTAATAATATTGTAGTGCAGACACAATATAGAGAAAAAGGATTTCAAAAATATTCTGAATTAATATATTGTCTTCTTGTGGCCGAGCAAAATAACGAGCTGTTAATGAAAAATCATGAATCATGTCCTACTAGCTCTACTCCATTCCCTGAAGCGAATGTGACAACCCATAACGGGAAAGAAACTAAAAACAGAGACCACGTCGGCATTAGTGGTCGAGGTAGAGGTCGTGGCCAATGGAGCGGCTGGGGTCGTGGACGAGGATATGGTAGAGGTTGTGGAGGTCATTTCACAAACTCACATTCCCACCAGAATTGGGAATGTAGGGATGATAAAGAGAAAAGTGATACCAATATATGTTACCGTTGTGGAGGAAAAGGCCATTGGTCTCGGGTTTGTAGAGCTCCAAAGCATCTTGTTGAACTTTACCAAGAATCATTGAAGAAAGGAAAGAAAGTTGAGGCAAACCTTGTTCTTGAAGATGGAGAAGGTTATATTGATTTTTGCAATTGACAAGCTAAAGTCGTATCACCCAATCAAAAGTAATTCATAAATCCTCTAGCTAATGCAGATAGGGAAGTAGGGTCGAATCCATAGGGAAACAAGGCTTTCTATTCCTAATTAGTTATTATAATCTAAAATTATTAAGTAACCAAAATATTGTAATCGAAAGATAACTAAACTATAGGAGTAAAAGTAGGAGGGAAATCAATGAAATAAAAGCCTAGGGCATAGGTTCACCAACAAATAATATTCCAGGGTAAAGCATAAAAATCAAACATCAATGTATCAATTAATCAGATCATAAAGGGCTTTCGCTACGTATTACAATCACATAATTAATCTACCGGTATTAAATCTCATCTCTCGAATCTCGACTTAACCATTTATAAATTAACCTGCATATTGAAACAAGACCTAAACATCAATTTTCATCTCTCGAATCTCGAATCAATATTGTCAAACTCATGCATAAAAGATCAGGCCTAATCTAGTCACAGAGCATTAAATCAATCAATAGGAAATTAATCTAGCATTGATAATCAATAACAATAAATTACCCCTTCATATTATTTATGGATCCCCATAAACCCTAGAAATAAAAATACTCACACATAACTAAATCTAAACTAATCAAAGCAATAAAATAAGACATGATGAAAGAATTAAAATAAATAACTGAGATTAAAGTAGAAGAAATCGTTACCAAAGTAATCTGGAATTAAGAGTAGAGTTAAGGACAAAATATAAGAGAGAGAAACTAATCTAAAAGCTAAGTAGAGAGAGAAAATCTAAGAGAAGAATTAAGAAAGAGTAAAAGAAGATACTAAACTCGCTTAACGGAAAAGTATTTATGCTAAGCAAGAATCCTAAACTAAAACAAATTTAAACGACGCTAATTGACTCCTAAAACTGACACGCGCCCGATCGGGCGAGGCACCGCCTGATAGGGCCCGCCTTTTTCCTCATCAGGTATGTTTCTCGCGCCCGGTCGGGCGCGAATTCGGGCGCCAACTTTACTTCCCCCGCCCGGCCGGGCGCGCCTTCAGGCGGGAACTTCTTTGGCCGGGCAGCACTCTTGGGCCACTCTTTGGAGTTCTATTGGGCTCCAGTTCTTGGGCTAATCTGGATTTTCTCTTCGGGTCTTGAATGCTTGGTCCAAATGCCCCGATATCACATATACCAAGCCCTTAATCACCGGTTCGGATCGATGGCTCCAACCGGCCTTGGGCTATAGAAACAGGTCGTGCTTCTCCAATGCTCGTAGTTGCTCCATAATATCTCGGAAAAATGCTCTAAAAGCGCAAATCCCTACAAAAGTCAACCAAATCTACGAAAACACTAGAAAACACCAATTAGTAATAAAAGTGCATGTCAACGAATTTTCTCATTCCTATATCATTCAAAAATCGTTTAACAAAATCATACAAACCATAAGATTCAAGAGTAGGGCGAAGTAACCACCGTGAAGAATTACCTCCCGCCCGGCAAGGTGTTCTAGTTGTTCCTTTTTCTCCTGGCTAGCAATTCGGATTGTTGGCCAATAAGAGAGTTGCAAATCTGGATTGTACTCCTCCCTTGAGCTATAACTCCTTCTGAAAATTGATCGAGCCCGGCCTCTTTGAAGCCATAGTAGAAAAATGGGTATGAAAAATATTTGATTGAAACTTGAAAATTTTTATGTAGGATTGTAGAGGATGAAGAGAAGATTAAGAATATGTAAAAATTATTGAATTTGGGTAAGAAATGAAGAGAAGATCTTAGAGAGAAGGTAGAGGTTTTAAGGTTTTAGAGAGAGAAAGTTATAGAGGAAAAGAGAAAAGAAGAAAGAAAGAAGAAGGAAGAAGAAGAAAAGGGGGCGGCTAGTGTCGCGCCTGGTCGGGCGGACCGTCGCCCGATCGGGCGATCTGAAATTTTAATTTTGCTTTCCTCACGTGCTCGGTCGGGCGCCCTTCGCCCGATCAGGCAATCTTGTGCCCGAAATTTCTTCCACTCTCGAGCTCGGTCGGGCGCCCATCGCCTGATTGGGCGATCTTAAATGTTCGTATATGTCAAATTTTGCGCCCGATCGGGCGAAAATTATGCTTTTTCAACCCTTGCTCTCGCGCCCGTTCGGGCGAGCTTCGCCCGATCGGGCCCGAGGCTAATTGGACGATCTTTTTTGGCTTTCTTCTTTTCTTTAATTTTTAGCTAACTCTTTTCCTTCAAACCTGTACAAAAACTCATAAAACTCATTAAATTCCCTCCTCTCATTAGAAAAAGAAATAAAAACTAGTCTAAAAAGCATTAAAATACAGGTTGCCTCCCGCAAAGCGCTGGTTTATCTAGGTCCCGCACGAGCTTCTTACCAAGTACAAGATCTAGGACCCTTGGCCTAACGCTTGGTCGTCAGGTGGTTTCTCACCCGGTTGAGCGATGTTTAGGCTACGACGTGGCTTCCTGACATACCCTGTGGGACGCCAATTCACTTTATCTGGTGGATCCTCCTTGACTTGGACTGGGGGCTCTTCAATGCTACGCACTAAAGATCCCTCTTTGATCGATGGTTGCTTCAAATTGTCACTACATTTAGCACTTGCAACTCGATCTGGCGGAACACTTATTGTAGGCTCAATTACCATAGCTTGCTTGTTTAATTCCACCTTCTCATCCTCATAGCCAAGTGTAGAGGTCTCTTTCTATTGCATCAACTTCCTTCTGCCATTTCTCTAACTCATCTGTAAAATATGCAACACGAGATACCGCTTCCAAGTGATCTTTTACAAGAGCTCGGGGCTTGTTAGAATAATTTTGAACCACATCAACACTAAAGCACTTCTCCTCTGTCATGGGGCTTTTAGGGGTATTATTAAGATTAAAAATAATTTTATCTTCCCCTACTGATAGTGTTAATTTACCACATCTCACATCTATAACTGCTTCTTCAGTGTTAAGGAATGGTCTACCCAAAATAATTGGGGTTTGCATATCCTCAGCCATATCAAGAACAACAAAATCAGCAGGTATGTAAAATTTACCTACTCTTACAGGAACATCCTCTAAAACACCTAAGGGGTATTTAAAAGAACGGCCGGTCATTTGTAGAGTAATGTTAGTAGCTTTTAATTTACCCATATTTAGCTTGGAACACACAGATAATGGCATAACACTAACGCTAGCGCCCAAATCACATAATGCATTATCAGTCATTAGATTTCCAATATGACAAGGGATAGAAAAACTAACCGGATCTTTCAGTTTAGGTGGAGATTTATTTTGAAGTACGACACTACACTCTGCAGTGAAAGCTACTGTCTCTACCTCACTAATAGACCTTTTTCTTGTCAATATTTCCTTCACGAATTTTGCATATGCAGGAATTTGTGTAATTAATTCAGTGAAGGGAACTGTAACCTGCAAATCTTTTACCATCTCCAGAAACTTACCTAACTGCTTATCCAAATTTTATTTCAAGGGACGATTGGGGAATGGAAGTTTGATAACTAGCTTTGGAGAATTATTGCTCTCATCTAGAGTTTCTACCTTCCCTGGAGTCGTACCCTGCAATGTAAAATCAGATATATTAGTACTACTCTTTAGCCCTGCAGGGCTATTAGCTACATTGTCAGGTTTAATGGAATCAAGATTAGCATTATTTAATAAAACAGGTTCATCATATCTGGGCATAGGGGGCCCTTCATAGTGTGAACCACTCCTTAGAGTAATTTCATAGGCTTGATCCGTAGGCCTGGTCGGATGTGCTGGCAGGGCTCCCAGTTGACGGGCTAGCAGAGTAGCAGAAATTTACGCAATTTGATTATCTATAATTTTATTATGTGCTAGGATCGAATCAATTTGGGCATCTCTACTCTCCATGTGCTTCTACATATTAGCCAGCATCGCTCTAATTTCTACCAAAGCAGGGTCGGAAGATGAGGAGGGTTGTTGTGGTTGGTTCTTCTGGCCAGCATTGGGGTGGTAATATTTCTGCTGTTGTTGTTGTGGCGCCTGTGATTCTTGTGGAGGTGGTGGATTTTGAACATTGGTGCTCCGGTAGGAAAGGTACATATGATTCCGATACCCAGGATTGTAGGTGTTGGAGTATGGGTTATTCTACCTATAAGCTTGAAAGGCATTGACTTGCTCCACGGAACTCCTGCAATCTTGTTCCCAAAGACCTAGAATTCCACAATTTTCACAGAAAGCCTCATTAGAATTATTATTAATTGCAGAAACATTAGCTACATTTGCAGTACTAAGATTATCTAATTTCTGGCAGATAGAGGTTAATTGAGCTTGTAAAAAGGATACAGAGTCGACACTATGTTTCCCTTTATTAGCAAAACCTCTAGGATTCCCATATTGGGAATTATGTATCGCCATATCTTCGATAACTTGACCTGCATCATCAACATTAAGGTTCATAAACCTCCCACTAGCTTCAGAATCCAATATTATTCTAGATGAATTTCCAATCCCATTGTAAAAGGCTTGGATCAACTGCTATTGTGCCAGATTATGGTGGGGACATTCTCTCTGTAGGTCCTTGAACCTCTACCATGCTTCATATAAAGTTTCATCGGCTTCTTGGGCAAAGTTCTGAATTGCACTCCGTAGTACAACTGTTCTCTCTACAGGATAATATTTGTTATAAAAATTCAAAACAAGAGTTTCCCAGTCAGTTATACAAAGTGCAGTTCTATTTAAACCATTAAACCATAATTTGGCTTTTCCACTTAAAGAAAAAGGAAGGAGAATCTCTCTGATTTGGTCTTGTGTGACCCCAGCTTGCCTGATAGTATTACAGTACTGGCAGTAGTCTGCAATATGAAGATTTGGGTCTTTACCCTTAGCTCCACTAAATTGCTTCCTTTCTATCATCGTTATAAATTGGGGTTTAATCTCAAACTGTACCCCATCAAGAGCTGGAGTGGGAGTAAGGTGTGGAAAATTTGTAAGCTTTGGTTGTGAGTAATCACTAAGCTTCTTAGGAACAGCCATCTCTGATTCTGGATCTGAAGATACCTCTGAAT